CAGTAGTGCGAATCTTTGTTTTCTTGATGTTGAGCTTCAAATGTATACAATTGTTTATATACATCAAGTTTCTTTCATTTACCTTATGCTTTATACTATCACTCACATTTATACAATCATTTGTATACTTGTTTTATTCACATACATTTTTATACAATTTCCATGTACTGTTTTACATAATTAATTACTATTGATTTATGACTTCCATCATCCTCTCTCATCAAGTCCCAATTGAACCTTGCCTATTCCTTTACACTCCCCCATCTACCCACTAAAGTCTGCGGTCCCAGTGATTTCCTCTTCCTTCTTCCTCATGCCTTTTCCCCTACCCCTTTTAAACAGTTCTGGTTTCATAGGTACATATCTTGTCATTAAGAGGAATATAACTTGTTCCTTTTTGCTAAAAGCAATAGCTATCTTGTCCTGATCTTGATTCTTCTCAAGTTGATCCTCCCTTGTCCTGGACTTTACAGAGCTCATTGTCTTCACTTTCTACTTCTTTTCTCTCCCTCACCCCCTCAATTCCCAAGTTACACCCTCCTATTTTCACAGTAATGGTCTTATGCAGTATTTGTCCTTTTGTGACTGAGTTATTTCACCTCACATAATGTCCTCTAGACTCTCCCATGTTCTTTACTGCTGTATAGTATTCCACTGAGTAAGTATACCACAGTTTATCTATGCATTTGTTGACAGGCATTTGGCTTGTTTCTATTTTATTGCTGCTGTGAATAATGCTCCTAGGAACATAGGGGTACTTATCTCCATTCATGTCTCAGCCCTGATTTTTCTTTGGGTATATTCCTAGCATGAATAGCTGGGTCATATGGGACTAAGGTATGCCTCATTCAGACCATGGTCTTTTCAGTCATTTGCTATATCTATTAGAGCTGGACAATGAATAAGGATGACAGAAGAAGAATTGATGTCCTAGAGTTGTGGTGTTGAAGAGGAGCCCTAAATATCCTATGGACTTCCAAAAGAACAGACAAATATGTCTTGGAAAAACTGCAGCCAGAGTGCTCATTGGAGGCAAGGATGGTGCACTTCATCTCACATATTTTGGAAATGTTAGTAGGGGAGGCTATTCCTTGGAAAGGTGCATGGTCAGTGAAAGAGAAGAAGATCCTCAATGAGATAGATTGACATGGTGAGTGTAGCAATGGGCTTAAGTGAGTAGGAAATGGTGAGGATGGCACAGAATAGGACCGAGTTCAGATCTGTTGTTCATAGATTGAGAATTCTATATAAGTCGTACTCCACCTGACAGCACCTAGCTACAATGGGGTTTCTGTGTTCACCTTTTTGAGGAATCACCAAATTGCCTTCCATAATGGTTAAACCATTTTACAATTCCACCAGCAGTGGATGAAAGTTCTAATCTCTCCGCATCTTCTCCAACATGTGCTTGCATGCCTGTTCAATTTTGCTCCTGCTGCTAGGATGCGATGGTATATCTCATTGTTTTGATTTTTATTTCTCTGATTGTTAGTGATTTTAAACATCTCCTCATGTATTTGTTGACCATCTGGATGTCCTCCTCTGTGAAGAGTCTTTTCATATATTTTTCCCATTTCATAACTGAGTTATCAATCTTTTTCTTGTGGAGGGCCTAGTCTTATTATGTGCCATCACAGCAGCCCTATGTAAAACACCTCTGAACCCTGCTCTATCTTGAGCCAATTTCATATGTGTCTCTCACACACCCACCCATATTACCCTAGTCACAGAGTCAATCCATCTCATCCAGAGTCTTCTTCGCTTGTGCTGCCCCTCCACCCTTCCAAGCATAACGTTCTTCTCTAAGGACTGGTTCCTCCCAGCAACATTTTATATATGAGACCTTTGTCTAAAATGTTATTACCAAACATTCAAGACATAGTCAAGGTTGTATTTTGGCTCTTATGGACTTGTTTTGATTTTCTTTTGTTTCCACTTGAGTTGCAAATGGCCAACAGCATTAGTCAGAACAAGCCCAGCAGTCAGCTGCAAAACAGACCATCAATTACTCATGTGTAAGTTCTAACTGAAGCCGAAGATAATTAAAATCAAGTCCACAAAAGATCAAAATATGACCTTGAGTATATCCCACCTGAATTTAGAGCTCATCTCAATGAGTTAGGGAGCTATTCAGTATTATAGTTAAGAGCTTGAATCTTGGAGTCTCTTATGTACGGAATTATGTCCCCTCGTAATTATGTGCTGTAAATTCTAACCTGATTGTGGTTACAGTCCCATTTGGGAATGGGCTGCCTTTGTTATGTTAATAAGACATTATTAGTATAGGATGTGTCTTGAGTCAATGTCTTTTGATAAATGAGAGATTAAACAAGTAACTGAGAAAAACAGTGATGAGGGGGAAAGAGATGTCAAGAGACATGAAGATCACCCAGCGGTAGGAACTCAGAAGAGACGAGAACCTTCCCTCAGAGCTGACAGAGATAAACCCTCTAGTAGAGCTGGCATGCTGAATTTGAACGTCGAGCTTCCTAAACTTTGAGAAAATAAAATTGCTGTTTGTCAAAACCAGCCGCTTGTGATATTTCTGTTATAGCAGCACTAGAGAGCCAAGACTCAGACATTCTGGGTCTTATTCCAGAATGCTGATTATGGAATGTGTGGTCTCTCCGTTAACTGTCAGTAAGTTAGGAATTTTAATAGAAATGATCTCGGAAGAAAGATGAAGGCATGGATATCAATGGATTAGCACATTACCTGCATGCAACAAGCATACAATAGATGTTAGAGTCTGTGAATGAAGAAAATGAAGTGAAGCTATTTGAGGATAAAGGTAACAGTCTCATGGGGTGTGGTGTACAGAAAATGCACTAACACATGGCAGGGGCTTGACATCAAGTTGGAAACTACTATTATCTGCAGCAGAGAAATTAGTCTACAATTTCTAGGCATGGGCCTTGAGCTAAGAGTCTGAGGTTACATCCTGGTTAAAGACGATCAGTTATGCCCCTGACAGGGATGCTCAGTTTGCTCTGCCTGTGTGTATAGAGGGGAGTTGTAAAGGATTAAAACTCTGGTGGCCTAGTGGCAAGAAGCTGCGCTGCAAATGCAGTTTGAGGCCAACAGCTGCTCAAGTGGGAGAAGGATAGGCAATCTCCTCCCTTGCAATTAATTGCCTCTGAAAACTCTCTGGAGGCTCAGCTATGAGTAGTTTCCAACTCGACAGTACACAAAAACAACAATGAAGTTTCGAATCCACCACCAGCTCCGAGGGAGAAGGATGAGCAATCTCCTCCGGTGCAATTCATAGCTTTTAAAAAACCTTTGCGAAGGACACTTTGAGTCTCTTACCACTGGGTGGTAATGAGTTTGAGGAGGATTTTTTTTTTTTTGGTTTGTTGGCTTTTTGTTTTGTTTAGACTTAGTAAGGTTGGTAGTTCGAACTCACCCAGAGTCACCTCAGAAGAATGGTTTAGTGTCTGTTTCTTAAACGTCACAGCCTTGAATACTCAACGTTCCACTCCACAGCCTGGAGGGGAGGAGGGGGGAGGCATGGGCTACAATCCAAAGCACATAACGAGTTATTTTGGAGGCTGGGAGGTAGCTGATGGTGCTCACTCAGACACTTTATGGGGCACTCATTTGGTGAAAATCCAGCACTGTGAAGGGGTTATTGCTGTGGAGAGGAAGTTATCTTTTCTAAGCAAGGTTCTGATCACATAGGTCATGCATAGGAGAGAGAGACACAGAGAGAGAGAGAGAGAGAGAGAGAGAGAGAGTGAGTTTTTTGATCACACAGGTCATGAAGAGAGAGAGAGAGTGTGTGTGTGTGTTCTGATCACAGGTCATGCACAGGAGAGAGTGTGTGTGTTCTGATCACAAGTCATGCATAGGAGAGAGAGGGAGACAGAAAGAGAGAGAGAGAGAGAGAGAGAGAGAGAGAGAATATGAATGAGTGTGTGTGTTCAGTGCATGGTCATTAAAATTGTACCGTGTTGACTCATGTAGGGGGGTGTCCCTCTAAGTGGAATTCCGCTTGGATAAGCCTTCAGTGCTGCGGCAGAGCAACCCAGGTACCCCAGACCTTACCAATACCAAGGGACAAGGACAATTTCCCAAGAGTAGCCCGCCGCTAGGGGGCAGCTGCTAAGAGAGGAATCCCATGGGCCCGAGTCCGCTTCTCTGGGGCTCACTCTCCAGCCTGTTTCCAGTAAGATGTGGGGTGACAGTGGGGTGGAGTGCGAGTTTCATGGGTGTGGGATAGAGCAAGCTATCAGAGTGTGAGTCAGCGCGGGGTCGGGGGCGAGCGTGTGGCAGGGGTGGGGTCAGGTGCTCCAAGAACAGTCACGGAATCCCACTCACGTTTGGCCCCTTCACCCATCTCCGTCCCGTCTACTGCGGGTCCCACTCCCGCACTTGTGCGCACACCCCGCAATGTCCAGTTTGGTTCTGTCTGTATGTTTGGCGACAGCTGGGGAGGGACGAGTGTCCTTGCTGTTGTTTTTATGCCCAGGTTAGGAGATTCCCTCCCCCTTCCCACCCTGGGTGGGTGTGGGGGTGTGTCTAGTCAGGAGGTAGGGGTGTGGGGATGTGTGTGCGTGTGTGTGTGTGTGTGTGTGTGTGTGTGTGTGTGTGCGCGCGCGCGCGCCGTATTTCAGCATAGGGTGGTTCCATCCGCTCTTGGAGTATTTGTCATATTTGTTAGTGTCTGTATTTGGGAGCGATCTCGACCCAGGTTTCTACCCTAGGTGTCAGGCCAGTGCAGTAGGGGCGCAAATTCTTTGGCACTCTACTCACAGCGCTCGCCCTCCAGCCCCCCAGCTGGCCAGGGTTCTTTAGGGAGCGGCTTGCGTGGGGAGGACGCAGGCTGATGTGTCCCCGGGAGAAGTAGGGGAGCAGGGGCGGGCCAGGTCCCCGGGCGCAGCCTGGGCTCGGGGGATCCGCGCGGCTGACGTCAGGCGGCTCCTTAAATAGAGCCGGCAACGCGCTAGGCTCGGCATTTCTGGAGGAGCCAGAATCCGGCCGGCGCCCGCGCCAGCGCCACCGTCCGGTCCGCCGCCAGCTCGCACCCAGCGCCGCCGCTGAGCTCTCCGTGCGCAGCGCTCCACGGACCGCCGGCCCGATGGGGCTTCGGGCGCCGGGCGCGCTCCGAACCCGGCGCCCGTGAGAGCCGAGGAGCGCCAGGAGGCGCCCGGCTGCCCGGAGCCCCCGCGCCCACGACACGGAGATGTTGGGAACCTCGCTGTGTGTTCGGCGAGGAGCCGCTGCCCCCGGGATCCCCCGGCACGGTGCGCGCCCCAGCCACCCTCGCCTGGAGAAGCTGGTGCCCCCTGCGCCCAGCCCGCGTGTCTCCGGCCGCGCTGCCTGAGCTGCTCGGCGGCCACCGGGCCAAAGCTGCTCCGCCGCCAGTGCCCTCTCGGAAACCATGACCCCCGGTGCGCGCCCATGGAGCCATGGCCTATAGGGTCCTGGGGCGCGCGGGGCCACCTCAGCCGCGGAGGGCACGCAGGCTGCTCTTCGCCTTCACGCTCTCGCTCTCCTGTACTTACTTGTGTTACAGCTTCCTGTGTTGCTGTGACGACCTCGGCCGGAGCCGCCTGCTCCGAGCGCCCCGCTGCCTGGGCAGCCCCAGCGCGGGGGGCCGGCAACTTCTCCCCAAGTCCCGCCCCTGCGATCCTCCAGGGCCGACGCCCAGCGAGCCTGGCGCACCCAGCGCACCTGCAGCTGCCGCGCCCGCCGCTCGGCTCTCGGCTTCCAACCACTCTGGCTCCCCGAAGCTGGGCACCAAGAGGCTGCCCCAGGCGCTCATCGTGGGCGTGAAGAAGGGGGGCACCCGGGCCGTGCTGGAATTTATTCGGGTGCACCCTGACGTGCGGGCCTTGGGCACCGAGCCCCACTTCTTCGACAGGAACTACGGCCGCGGGCTAGACTGGTACAGGTAAGGCGCGGGTGGCCCCACTCCACGCGCCTCCCATCTCCACTCAGCTTCTTCTTGGAGCCATCTCTTGGGCTTCCTGTTCTTCATAACCTGCCCCTGTTGTGTGGATTCTGGCTGACTTTGGGGATTCTAGATCAGAAGGGTTTATCTTGAACTTCTCGGTGATGACCTAGGCGGGGTATAAAGGAGGCAAAGAGTGGTCCCTGTCGTCACTGAAACAGGCAGAATGGGGCTCTCCAGCTGAACCTCAAGGCGAGGCTAAAGGCTGGTTCGGTGCCTGGCTTTGGGGGTGCTGCGGGACGTCTAAGGAAGGGACAGATTGTGTGTCTTTCCTAGTCTCTGGCTTCTGAGGGACCCAGGTAAGGGGCAAGGCGAAGCAGTGTTTTGCTCCGTCCCAGAGGCGAGGGCGAGGTCATTGACGCTCACTGGGACTCAGCCTGAGATCTCTACATGAAAACACTCATCTTTTGTAGTCTCATCCTCAACTCTAGTTCCTGGGAGGCTAACTGTAGTCCATCTGACCCTGAGCCAGTTGCCTGAGAGAGATACAAACACCCTACCATTCAAGTTCAAGTTCTAGCCATTTCCCTCAACCTTCAGAGCCTCCACGTTCTCAACTACACAGTAGGAAGAATAGTCTTTGCCTTTCCTGCCTCATCAGCCCTTTCTGAAGTGCTTAAAAGTGTCAGAAAGACACTTTATACTGGCGGATGCTTCTAAACCAATAACCAGGATATGGACCACACAATGCTGGGGGGCTTCAGAAGTCGGCTGGCCAGGATCCTGGGGCAGCCAGTAGGTAGTAGATTGTCTATCCTGCCACCATTGGGCTGGGGATGAGATTTAGCGAGACTGGAGGTGTCTGGGGACAGACTGAAGCCACTGTAACGTGACAGTCTCCACTGTGCAGTTCCCACCAGCCGCCCCAGCACTGTCTGGTGCGGAAGTATGGCTGGAATTGGCCCACAAATGGTAATGGTTCAGGGCGTCTCCGGGAGCGGCGTATGTGATCTCTGTAGCCCAGCTGGTCACTGAATTCTCACCATGCACCGGACCCCTTGAAAGACTTGCTAGAAATGTCTGTGTGGCAATGAAGCTGAGAGAGTAGCTGGCACGGGAGCTGAGGCTCCGTTTTAGAAAAGTAAACTGTTTAGGTGGCAGGAGGGTCAGAAGGATATTGGGCAAAGGACAGATTTATTAGAAGAAGGATTCCTGTGATGGGTTCCTATTAGGAGGCCTTGGGTTTATAAGGGAGGGCCCCAGGGCCACATTGTCACAGCCTTGGGGACAAAAGGTGTGTGTGGAAGGTAACATCCTCAGGAGGTAGACAGACCATCTGTCTCCAGCGGAGCTCAGCAGAGAAGAGGTGCCCTCTCTGGGTGATGAATGGGGTGGGGTGGCATGGAGCGGCAGGTCTAGGCTCCCTGCCCTTGATGTTTTCCATGTCATGATGGTAGACCTTCCATCTGGATGTTGGAGGACACAGTCCAAGCCAGACCCCAGGGAGGATGGGGGTCAATGCCTCAGACAGCTGAGCCTGGAGATTGTGAGCCTGGTCACAATCCCACAGTCATACCTGCCAGCGTTTCCTTGATGGAAAGACTGAAGCTCAGCATTGCCAGTGGGAAGTGCATTCTTAAGTGCAAAACAGTGAAATTCCAAGTGTCAGGCTTGTGGATCCATTACCCTCTAAAAACCACCTGACCCCAGACCTTCCTCTTTTGCTCACTTCCTTCCACCACCTCCAGGCCTCCTTCCCTGAGCCCAGTGTCATTCAGGGATGGCTGCTTTTTATTTTTAACCTTGGCATGTGTGATTCTAAGCCAGCTTAGCTGTGAACCTTAGAGATGGGAGCCGTGCCTTCTTCTTATTTTTTTTTTTTAGCACATTTGGATTCTGCTAAAATTCTCAGCTAAGTCTTGGTAGGTTTTATTTAACATCAAGCACACTGACAGCTCCACTTCTCTCTCCAGTCCCCTCCTTCTCGGAGTCTGAGTTGCTCTCCCATCCCTGCTCTGTACTTCTAAAGGAACGCTTAGCATGGAGTTCTAGCGGCCAGCGCCCCCTTCCTGCCCGCCCCCACCCCGCAGAAGGCTGGGAGCCCTGAGCATCAGGAAGGGCATGTGGTCCGTGCTTTGCTGAGCACCCCAGAGGCAAAGACTTCAGTGTGATAGGCCATCTCTGTACAAGGCAGGGCTGCCTTCTTCGGGATGCTGTTTTCATCAGTTCCAGAATATTTTTTTGCATGTGCTTTATGTGTGATGATCACACGAGCAGTGTGGGTGAATTGCAGAAATGATGACGGTTCCTAAACCTTTGACATCCTTGTTCTCAGTTCATTTCTGAAAGCCATGGGTCATTAGGGCAGATGCCATGCTTCTCTTTTCTCTGTCCACTAGCCTCATCAGTTTACTGGTGTGAAGACTACATTTCCCTAAAGGGGAACAGCTGGAATGGAGTCACTGGGCATGTGGACGGCATTATGTGTGTTTCTGTGCTTGTCTGTGCAAGTCCAACAAAGGGCTCTAACCATGGCCATGGACAGGGTACACCGTAGTACCTGCTGGGTGGACATGGTGATTACTCTCTTGTGCTCCGTGGTGAAGTATGTGCCCCAAGAGTGGAGCTGCAGGCAGTGTACCTCTTTATGATTTGCCCAGAGCTAATCCCCTGAGTGAAGAAGCTTCCTCTCACGCATTTTGGGCATGTTGTGAGGAAACGCTGTTCCTTGGAAAAGGGCATCATACCTGGAAAGGTGGAGAGTCAGCAAAAGCGAAGAAGACCCTCAGTGAGCTGGATTGGCACAATGGCTGCAGCAATGGGGTCAGGAATGGCTATGAATAGGACAGGGTTCCGAGCTGTTGTTCCCAGGGTCCCTGTGAGTCATACTTGACTTGACAGCACTTAACAATGACAAGAAACCCCTGGGGATGACTTGCTGGGTCAGGAAGTCCAAATTCAGATGCGTAATGTTAAAATAAAAATGCTTTGCCATCAACCCAACAGAAAGACTTCTTTCTGTAAGTTATGGTTGATGCTAACTGCTGAGGAGTTGGCCCTGGAGTTGTGGCAAACTCGTGCACCATGGAACAAGGACACTGCCTAATTCTACACCATTCTCATGACTGGTGGAAGACCATAGGGTTTTCATGGATGGGTTTTTGAGTGATCACCAGGCCTTTCTTCCTCATCTCTCTAAGTCAGGAGGCTGTGTTGAAACCTGTTCAGTACCAAAGCGACATGCAGCCCTTAACTCTAGATGGGTGTTGGCTGCACATGAGGTGTTCTGTCTGGGAATTGAACCCGAATCTCCCTCATGTAAGGTAAGAACTCTGACAGTGGACCACCAACAACCTCCTTTCTATGGGTGAATGGAGGCCAACCAGGAGGTGACAAATGATGCCTAAAGGCAGGTGGCCAGGGCCAGAGAGACCAGAAGTCAGAATTTCTGTATTTCCCATGCCCTACTCTGAGCTCCTGCTGGGAGCAAGCCCAGCTCAAGCCCCTCTCTGGGAGCCCAGTTTTCAGTGGTGAGACCTCTCCCTTCTGATATTTTTCTGTGAGCCCATCACTAGTGCTTATCCATCTATTTATCTGGCCTGATTCTCCTCTCCAGCTGGACCTGCAGATTGGATTGGGCTAGTTGCTTGGACAGGGAGGCAAAGTGGCAGCAGGCTAAGGAGGGAACCAGAGCAGGACCCACTTAGCCACTCCTATGCTGTCTGCTTCGGAATAGGGTGGTCGTCCTGAGTCATAACTTCCTCATTACAGGATGGAGCCTGTAGTAATGGTCATTGGAATGTGTTTAAAGAATGAATGGAGCCCTGTGTATGAAGTTCAAATTCACTGCCATCAAGACAATGCCTACTCCTCGTGACTCTGCAGCAGAGTAGAAGTGCCCCACATGGTTCCAAGACTGCAAATGTTTATGGAAGGAGTCTATCTTATCTTTCTCCCATGTAGCTGCAGGTGAGTTTGATGTTTCAGTTAGCAGTCAAATTGTTTAATCACTATGCTACCAGGTTCGTTTCTATCTGTTAAACTGGCTAAACAGTTACATGGTGTCTGCAGCTAAAGCATCAGCATTAAATACTATTAGTACATTATACCTTGTCAACTGTGCTTTGCTATATTGAGATCCACAGATGTTACATTTTTCACACACTGAAGATTTGTGACAGTCCTGGTTTATCGGTGCCATTTCTCCACCAGCGTGTGCTTACTTTGCATCTCTGTGGCACATTCCGGTAATTCTATCTAGCAACATTTCTAACTTTTTCATAACATAATCACACGCCTAATAGACTACAGTATCGTATAAACATAACTTCCATATGCACTGGGAGACCAAAAAATGTGTGAATTTCTTGATTGCGATATTTGCTTTATTGCAATGGTCTGAAACCAAGCCAGTAAGGTCCCCATGTCTGTGCTGCTGTCACTGTTGCTATGAAGCCAGTTGTTGTTGGGTTGATGCTGTGTGTGTGTGTGTGTGTGTGTGTGTGTGTGTGTGTGTAGAACTAAACTATATTGAGTTTTCAGTGGCTGATTTTTCAGATGTAGATTAGTAGCTTTCCTTCTAAATCTTCCCTGAGTAGACTTGAACCTCCAACTTCTTGTTAGCTGCCAATCATGCTAACCCTTTGCACTAGACTCATTGTTACTGCTACTGCTTCAGTGTCAACATAATCAGTACCATTAATATTACAACTATTAATCCTGTTCTTGCTGCTGGTGACCAAATGGGATGTTGTTGCTCATGCTGGACACCATTGAGTTGCATACAACCCATAGCATCCTGTGAACAGCAGATATTCCCCTGCCCTGTCTTGCACCATCCCAATCATCTCTGTTGCATGTGGGCCCATTGTTACAGTCACTGTAGTAATCTATCTCATTGGGAGTCTTCCTCTCTTACACTGACCCTCCACCTTTCCAAGCATGATGTCTTTTTCCAAGGACTGGGCCCTCCTGACAAGATGCCCAAAGTATGTGAGATG